ACTCTTAATTGGTTACTCTTAAAAATATGGATTGAATGGAGAGCTTTTAGGTTATAGGGTAGGTTATTCCAAGATTTTATAATTTAGTTTTTTATAATTAACAGAACAGTGTTTTAAGACTGCTAGGTCCAGAATATCAATGATTTAAGATAGATTGTTTATTTGTATTTTTAGGAAAGAAATTGTTAAAGGTAAGAGGTAGGTTTTTGTGTTGGTAACTCCAGAACATATTAACAATATAACGGTTTTTCATGCGTTTTCAGTTTGGTTTTTTTACTTTATGAAATAGGTGGATTGGTCACTTTGATTATTTCACCAAAATTACAGTTTAGCTCAATTAACTGCATGGTAATACCGTGGCAAGTGGGTCGGAGGCCACCCCTACTCCCTAAGAAATTAAAAAGTTACTACTAAGACCCCAAAATTAAAAAAAGTTTTTTTATTATATATTACCAAAAAAACAATATTTTCCAACTAGCGAAAGGGTCCCTAAATTTTTAAATAAGCCCCCCTAATATTGCTGCGTTTTATCTCCACACCCCCACCGTCACCGCCACCATTTAGGGTGTGTGAAGAGCCTAGCCATGGCTCTGTTGCATGGTTTTAAATAAGTTTTAGAATACTAACAACATGATATGATTTGAAAGAAAATTAGTAATGTATAAAAACCAGCATGAACACTTAAAAATGCCTAAAACCTTTTAAAGAAGAATACGTCTTTAAAAATAATAAACATAACATAGTTAGAACATAAATCTGCATTTAAAACTTATTTTCAATTTACATATATTTTAGGAATCAAATTTAAATTAAATGTTATTACTATTAACAAAGCTTTTTATATTTAATTAACTTAGTATTATTATTTAATAAAAGAAAAAATATTTATTTTTGTTTTTTAATTATACATACCAGCAAACTAAATTTAAGTTTAATCAATTATCTTATTATTTTGAATTATTATCAGTCATTTACCTCTTTTTCTACCGCTAGCCATTAACATAAACCTTTTTTTGTTTGTTAACTGAACAAATAAATATTAAGTATAATAAATTTAATTAAGTTTTGGCGACAAGTTGTAAGTGGCTTGTGATATTTTTCTAATTGTTAAATCCAATTACTTTAAATTCTTTAAAAGTTTTTGTATTAAATGTTGGCATTCTAATTTTTTTTAGAGTTTAGCTGTTCTTTTTAGCTTATTTTGCTGCCCAGTGGGCACGCGTCGTCTGGAGGTTGTCTGTAAGGCGTCTCCTGGGCGTCCTGACGTCCGACGGGCGTCCTACGGTCGACGCATGCCGACTGGCTATAAGATTAACATCGATTTCCAAAATGGCTTGTATTTGGATTTAAAATGTTTACTAACAGTTAATACACAATTTTGCATTTTTACATAATTACATGATTAATAGAATAAATATTTACACAATTTATAGAAACTTTTTATAACTCCGATAGTGCAAGAGGAAATGGCTTTAATATTCTGAATGTGATAGAATTGAGTTATAGTCTGCTGCAGCTGTTCGTAAAATCTCTTCATTTTTTAACTACTGGCAGCAGCAATCATTATATCTTTTGATGCCATGCCTTTCTTTAGGCATGGCGTCAAAAGATGAGAATCATAAGAAGGTACTAATGAAATTTTATACATAAAATAGTTAAAACCCAAAACAAATTAAACACAAAACGTTCTTGAACGTTTTGTGTTTGCTGGGGTAGTGCATTTTGGAAATAGCAACCCTAAATGAGGAAGTAAAAGTCAAAAATAATCTTGGTATTTTTCGAATGATATTATTTAGAGCCAACATACATCCTATGCAATTAATAAAGCAAATAAACAAACTGGAAGAATTAAACACCCATTTGAATATATAGATAAAAATAATATCAGCTAATTATGCAGTCATTAGTTCGTCCCCATCTCGAGTAGTTATATGGAACCCCATTGACAGACTTAAAAAAGTTCAAAATAGATCGGCCAAAATATCATGTCTAGTTAGTTTTGGTCATGAAGAAAGATTTTTAAAAATAAAGTTACCCTTATTAGAAAACAGTAGTAGGCGGGGTGATTTAATCCAAATGTTTAAATTATTAAAAAGAATTGACGAAATAAATTTGCATAACCCAATTAAATATTTGAATACTAATTGTCGAGCAAGAAGCCATAACTTAAAAATGCATAAACAGTCAATAAAAAAACACAATAATTGCAAGTTTAACACAATTGGATAAAAAAATTTTCTCTAATAGAGTTGTAAATAAATGGAATGTACTAACACTAGAAATTATTGAAACAACAAACTTATATCAGCTTAAGAACTATATTGATAAACATTTCAAATTTTAGGAGTGGGTAATTTTTTTGGCTGTTATAGACTGAAATTCTACATAATTTCAGTTTCAAATCATATGAGTTACATCATTTCTATTCTATTCTATTCTATTGCAATATAAATACCTGAAGCAACATTGCTGAGCCGTACCAGCTTTAAACAGAAGCAATATTGCTGAGCTGTCGTACCAGCTTTAAACGATATACGAAATTTATTTTTTCTTAATCTAAGACTGGAGGTTAAAACTAACTTTTAACCAATTTTTCCAGTTCTAAATTAAATTTAATCAATCCAGTTCAGTTTTAACCACTAGCATTAATAGGTTATTATATATCTGTAACTAAAATTCTTTTTCATTAAGTTCACCTACCCGAGGATCCAGAGATTTTGTACACTCTGCATTTTGTATTATTTAAGAGAGGCATTCTATTTATTTTTTTTAATTTTTTTTTTATATTCTTAACTTCGAATATGCAACTCCCTATCAATTCTAACGTAACTTGTTAAACAAAGTTGCTGCACAAAGAAACAAATTGAATATGGTTCTTTAATAAACGTGGGATAGATTTGAACCACATCAATTTGACACAAACTTTAAATTTATCTTATTACTTTAGTAAAAACTTATTCTAATATGTAAGTTATTTGATCATTCAACTTTACTCTGTGTAACATGAATTCTATCTTTAGTTTAGTATAAGTACGTTTTTAATTAAAAAAAAGTTAGTTAAATATTTGACAAAATATTAAATAAATTTTTTTAAATATATATTTGTTAATATAGTTAATATACTTTTATATGACTAATATATTAAAGAGAAGGTAAAAACTAAACAACCATTTAATCTCATGCAATGTTTCATTCATTACTGACGAATTTCTTATAAGTTAAACATTAGTTGCTGGAGTTTTGAAATAAATAAAAATAGGCCCAATAAAAATTTTTAAACTGCATAAAAAGTTATTGTGAAAATAATTAATGTTAATAAGAAATACCAAAATAATCAACTCTATAAAGCAATATAACAAAATGTAAAACTGAATTTAAAATATTCTAATATACTAAATAGCTGCTTACTGAAACTTTACTCTGACATAGTGGGTATTGAGAATCAATTGGTACTGTGCACGGACAAGCTGATTCCACCTTAAAATATTTTGTTTTAACAATTTTGTTTTTCTTTAAAGAAATTTTTTTATTTTTTATTCTAAGTATATCATTGATAATAATACAAAATAAATCTATTTACCTTACTCAAATAATTTATTATTGAACACAAAGATCCATCCACTCCATTGCTTTTATAGAACGGATTTGATTGCCAGTTATCTTGCATCCACTTATTGAGAAATAAATGATGATTTATTCAGAATTATTTTTGTGTGTTTATTGCATAAACACACACACTATATATATATATATATATATATATATATATATATATATATATATATATATATATATATATATATATATATATATATATATATATATATATATATATATATATATATATAGTGTGTGTGTGTTTATGCAATAAACACATATACATATATATATATATATATATATATATATATATATATATATATATATATATATATATATATATATATATATATATATATTTATATATATTTATATATATATATATATATTTATATATATATATATATATATATATATATATATATATATATATATATATATATATATATATATATATATATTTATATATATTTATATATATATATATATTTATATATATATATATATATATATATATATATTATATATATATATATATTTATATATATATATATATATATATTTATATATATATATGTATGTATATATATATTTAAGTTGATTTAGGTGCCCCAAGAAGTCCCTACGGTCTTATCACAGAGCACCGCGGAAAAGCATTTAATAGGAAGTTCACGCCACTTTCCCAATCGATGTCGCAAAACTTGCCCAGAGGAGGGGTTTAAACCACGGGTCTTACATTTATGAGGCAAGTGCGCTACCACTGCGCCACGGCTGCTTATATATATATATATATATATATATATATATATATATATATATACATATATATATTTATATATATATATATATATATATATATATATATATATATATAGTATATATATATATATATATATATATATACATATATATATTTATATATATATATATATATATATATATATATATATATATATATATATATATACACACACACACATATATATATATATACATATATATATATATATATATATATATATATATATATATATATATATATATATATATATATATATATATATATATATATATATATATATATATACACACTTATCTACTATAGTGTATTTATATAAGCAAAGGAAAACCAATAAATTAATACTTTACTAATCGTAACAACCTGTCTTAAAATGACTTTAGGGTTCCTTAATGGTTAAGGGAATATTAAAGGCAAATTTTTTTTTCGAAATTTTTTTTATCAATATACAATTGTAATAGCTTATTTTACTCTTTTGATAAAGTTTAGTATATATTAATCAATTTTAAACAAAAGGGTTTGTTTAGGGCAAATCCTAATAAGGGATCGGTTAGGGCAAAATTAGGGCTAGCTCTTAGTCGACTTAAATTTTATGCAATTTTAAAACTTGGAAGAAAACATTTTACGGAATGATTTTTGTAAATGCGCGGTTTCTAAAAGCATGGTGTCTTTCTATAATGGCGCGGTCGTTGTCAAAAAGCTTTAATTTGATAACAAAAAAATAGTTTAATAAAAAAGATGTCAATCGTAGCATGGTAATTGTTCATCCTTATCTTTCCATTTCAATTGATGTAGGTATCTGGTGTGAAGATTGTAAATAAATGTATTAAGTAATTTTATATATTAGGTAGATGCCCATTTTATTCTTATCTTCAGAAGTTAATTGTACCTATGCTCAGACCCAGTAACCCAGACACAGTAAACATACAACATCTTTAAGACGTCATATGTTTACTGGGTCTGATCATAAGTTACTGGGTATGTTTGTTGGCTATGATCAAAAATATATGTTTGTGTAGTTATTTTAAAAAATGTATTTTCCTTATTATATGTCACATTTAATTTAAATATTAGATGTCTATTCGATTATTATCATCAGACGTTACTTCTACCTCTGCAATACTTCTGCTCAATATCCCTCCTCTCTAATTAAAGAATAGAATGTAAGTCTCATAAATAACAAGATGGTGTAAAAGTATGTTTAAATAAAAAATTTGTAAAAGTTATTGTCACTATTGTGAGTCTGCTCTTGAAAAAAAACTGTTCTTCTCTTTTAGAATGTAGTATGATTCTATTAACAACGGGTGTACAAAGATAGTTTACTGCTTTAAGAACTTTACCTTACATCCTTGATCCGTATGCACCTTTGATCTTATAAAGTTATCTTCATACTTTTATTACTTATTTAAGATAACTGATGACCAGCGTTATAAGTATTATATCAATATTTATAATATTGTGTTTTTAAGAATAGAGAACTATTAAGTTTATTTGATATATATAAGATTTTGATTTGATAAAAAGTAATTTTTTTACTTTTATAAGGAACCTCACTTTAATATTTTTTCGAGTTGAGTAATTTTAATTATGCCATTTTGTAGCTAAACTATTCACCTCTGTTATGGTTGCTTTTGGTAAGCTATAGAAGCATTTAATGTGACAAAAAAATAAATTTTTTTAAAAATGGAGCGGGTTAGCACTATTGAACCTAATGCGTCAATGCACCTTTTACCCCATGATAAAAGGTGCATACACACTCAAAATGTAAAAGCGATAAAGTACCATGTTATTTTATCGCTTTTACATTTTGTGTGTTTAATAGGGGTAGGAATTTTTTACATTTTTTTCTTAAAATCAATTTACCCTATAACTAACAGTGCAGAAGTATTAGAAAAAGTGACTCAAAATAAATTGTTGTGACAGATTGAAAAGTCTTGTTTTTAAAAGGGATGACCTTTATAAGCAAAAATTTAAGTTAAAAAATAAAGTAACAAATTTACATAGGGCTGAAAACATCTTACGAACAGTGCTGTTGCTAGACGCTGAGAGCCCCCTCCCACCCCCACCAATCTGTCATTAGGGTTAAAATTTTTTTTACTTGATATATTACTAAAAGAAAAAAAATCTTTTTATTTGGAAAAGGATTTTTTTTTATTTTGTCTAGCACAACTAGACTCCATGCTTGCAAATTACGCATAAAAATAGTAACTTAGGAGTTGTCAACAAAGTAGGGGGGAGGGGGTCAAAATAAAAAACTTTTTTGACAATTGTTGACACGGGGGAGGGGGGAGGTCATTAAAAGTTGACGTCAACAATTCTTTTTTTTTTTGAGTTTTATTGCTTAAATAACGGAAAATTAGGCTGAGTTTGTAGCGTAGTTTCTTTGTATAGAGGAGGGGGGGGGGGGTAATCGAAAGTTGACGTAATTTTATAAGGAAGGTCTCTGGAAATTTGACAAAGTGTTGACAAGGGGGAGGGGGGAGGTAAAAAATTCAAAAAACTTTTTGGCGTAATTAATGGACAACCCCTTAGGGTAACTAAGTGTCTTTTCTAACACTCAAGGGAATTACTGGTTAATGAAAATCAAATACCAATTTTAACTTTGTTATATTGTCAGCATTTCTTCTGCAAGAAAACTTTGGTTTGTACTTTCTACAATAAAATTCCACGCTCTTTATTGATTCTTTTTTGTCTGAGTCATAAGCATGAATTTTAAGCAATAGTTAGCGTTTGAATTCCATCGTGCTATTGAAATAGGCTCTAGTTTTTAAAAATATATTGAGGGTAAATTGATTGTGTCTCAATAAGACTTGTAACTTTTGCATAATAAATCTAGCTCTAATCATTCTTGCCAGACTTTTTACTTTTATTAACCGGCCAGTAATTAATATTAGACAAGGTTGATAAGGAATCAAACTTTGAGTTCATAAAATGTTTAAGAATCAGATCGAGAACCTGGAGTTGACAAGGATCATGCACTAAACCTAGAATTATTTTTTTCAAACGTTTAATTACTCCATTTTTAGAACCCATAAATACTGTAAATAAATGTTCTAAAAATGGAGTAATTAAGCGTTACAACAAGTATATATTAAAATTATGTACTATAACAAGTATATATTAAAATAATTTCGTTGTAATATGTGACACCACTGCAGTAAATACTGCAGTGGTGTCACATATTACAACGGAAATTTTATTTAATAAAAAAAAAGTTTTAAAGTAATATTGTGTAACATGTTATAAATAGAAACAGAGTTGCATTTCTCTCATTTTTTCAAAGATATAACCAAAGATTTAGGCTTGCTCGAAATTCAAGTGCTATAATAAGGTTGTTTGTCTATACTCTTACCATCAAAACGTAAGCACCTTATTTCAGAAGGGTTGATATAAGACCAAAATAATTCATGCACGAGTGTTGTAAATGTTTTTTGGATTGCGGATATGCAAATTGATGTCTCACCAACTGCATTGAGCTCTCTTCCATCTTTGCCGTACAACTTATTGAGTATCCTTTGTTTTCAGATACCTTAGATACCATTATACCTTAAATACCATTTTACCGATGATCTTTTTACGTTTTAATGGGTTTGTTTAATCATTACTTGAGCTATTATCTTCTGATCTTTTATAATTAGAATTGTCAGTATCATCAAACAATTGACTATAATTTGTTTAAACTTCTCTTTTTTTTTTGGTGTCAGGTTTCGCGGATGTGTTGTATTAGACATTGTCTCAATTAAGTCAAATAATTTATTCCAGCTACTTATAATACTTGTCTTCATATTTGTACTTTGTGATTTTAATAACAAATTTATAATTTTGAATAGCAGACTTTACTTTTCTTCGCACAGATTTCTCCGTAAAACATCCTACCATTATTTTATTCCATAATGGACAAACTTCAATTGAAAATTCTTTAATAAGATCACTTGATTTAGGATTATTACACAATTCTAAAAGGAAACAATATCTTCCTAATATCCCCTATTATGGGTGTTCCCTATTAGGGGCATGTTCCCTATTATGGGTGTAAAGCTAACATTTTAGACCATGTTTAAAAAAAATGGTAATTTTCTATTTACCAACACCACCAAAATCACCTGTTCTTACTGATTTTATGTTTACGAAGAAACTAAAAGTTAAGTACCCACAATTAAAAAAAATCATATAATTTCCTGCATAAAATGCTTCATCCTCCTCCTACTGTTAAAACTTGGAGAGATGATTATGGTTTATTACCTAGGTTTTTTTCATTAAACTTTTTCTTT